TGTAAACCGCTTAGAGAGGGCTGAAAGCCCTATGAAGCGGTATATAAAAATCTGCTATTGCTAAACTGTTTGTCAAGAAGATAAACCATGTAGATGATTATCCTGAAAATAGATTAGTTCTACTTGATGAAGAGAAAAAAAAAAAAGCACCAAACCTATCTGGCCCTGGTAATACGAAGCTATAAACTTGCTTCCATTATTCCAGAAGTGGTATTCAGCAGGTTCTGACCAGTTCTGGAGAACCAGTAGCAGAAATTTTGACTAGGTCAGAGAACCGATAAATACCACCTCTGACTGGCCCTGCCCTCATCTATTCTCTGCCTCCCGAGTCCCAGCTGATCGAGAGAGAATGGAGATTTTACAGTATCCTTCCCCTGCCACACCACACCCACACACCAAGCCACACCCACAGAACCGGTAGTAAAAAAAATTGAATCCCACCACTGCATTATTCTAATGTGAAAAGGAGTTAATGTTCTCATCAAAAGATGAAGCAACTTCCAAATATTGGCTTTGTCTCAGTAGATTGTAAAGCAGACATTCTAACAAGATTTTTAAAAACAGACTGTGGCAGGGAGGGGTTGAGTACCTTGCAATTTACATTCAGTTTTGCTTAATACCTTTTGGGGATAAATTAAGAAAAATCATAAAAATGCAATTATAGAGCATACATACAGGTAATCCTTGCTTAACAACAGTTCATTTAGTGACCATTCAAAGTTACAACAGCACTGGGAAAAAGTGACTTCTGACCATTTGTCACATTCACAGCATCTCATGATCACATGATCAAAATTCAGCCACTTGGCAACTGACTCCTTTATGACAGTTGCAGTGTCCAAGGTCATGTGATCACCTCTTGCAGCCTTCTGACAAGTAAAGTCAATGGGAAAACCAGATTCACTTAGCAACTGTATTAATAACTTAACAACTGGGGCAAGAAAGGTAATAAAATGGAGCAAAACCCATTTAACAAATGTTTCGCTTAGCAACAAATTTCGGGCTCAATTGTGATTGTAAGATGAGGATTACATATATGCGTTTTTGCTGAAGAGTCTGCTACTGCATCAGATTAGAATCAGGGACAACAGATTCAAATCTTTGCTAAACTATGAAGCATTCTGAGTAATTTTGGGCCAGTCACAATTTTTTATCAAATGTTCTTAAAGATATTAGTGATATAAGATTAGAAGGCAAGAAGGGCACTCGTATTTTGCTCCTGAAGAGAAAAGGTTAGCGAAAAATGAAATACATAAGAAAAGTATCTTCTTACAAATAAAGGACAATATTTGCAGCTCTGGGTTGTAATGAGGGGTCTTTGGTGCTCTGGTTGTTGTTTCTTTTCAGATGTTTCATTACCAAACTAGGTAACATCATCAGTGCACTCTTTGGGTAATGAAATGTCTGCAAGAAAACAGCCAAGCTCAGAGAACACCAAGGACCCCTCAGAATCACCTTAGGTTTATAAAACAAATGTCTATCAAAAATCACTCAGCAAGAGTAAATCTGTAAATTTGTTTCACTTGAAAAATATTTTAACAAAAGTTGCTTGCTATACAACCTTGTTGCCCGGGGTTGGTGGTGGTGGGGCATGTCAGCTAGTAGCTGGCTTGCAATAGCAATAGCAGTTAGACTTATATACCGCTTCATAGAGCTTTCAGCTCTCTCTAAGCGGTTTACAGAGTCAGCATATTGCCCACAACAACAATCCAGGTCCTCATTTTACCCACCTC